TTACTCTTCGTACTTTTCCTTAGTGAAAGAAACTTTTCACGAGCCTGCCAGATCATACAAAGTGAAACAATATAATTATACAATTGATTTTAGGCCAACTCAAAAAATATAACATCAAATTCAAGCAATGTAAATAAAGCAAGCAAACAAACTACACCGGCAAAACAAATTTAACTTCTAAAGTATCTGGTCATAAATGAGACTAGCCTTGTCAAAACGTTTGTGTGGTTTCTGCCCTCATAGAAGATATTTTAAAACAAAGGGCTAAACAAATAAAAACATATATGATCCATATTAATACACAAATTATTATAAGTTGGAAGAACCTATAGCAGGGCAATAAACAAATAATTAACCAATGTTTCTCTTAATAAGATTGTTTCGCATAGTAAAAGTTAATAAGGCAACCCAGCTTTCAGCTAGTTCCAGATCCTCCCGACTTTATAGGGTATCTTAAATCTTATTTGTAAGACATAGTGGAACAATATAATTATTTATTTGATTTTAGGCCAACTAAAAAACTATAATATCAAATTCAAGCAATGCAAATAAAGCAAGCAAACAAACTACACTAGCAAAACAAATTTAACTTCTAAAGTACCTAGTCATAAATGAGACTAGTCTTCTCAAAACTTTTACGTGCTTTCTGCACTCATAGAAGATATTTTAAAACAAAAGGCTAAACAAATAAAACAGATATGATCCAGATTAACACACAAATTATTAGAAGATGGATGAATCTATAGCAGAGCAACAAATAAACAAATATGATCAAGTTGCTAAGGGAATTCGTAATGGTCATTAATCTATAAAATTAGTGGAAAGTTTCGGTTCAAAACAATTTCCCTTAGTATAATAGTGATTATCTTGATCCAAGATTTTTTTAAGGAAAAAAGGAAACTATTCATTTATTATTGTTTTCTATACCAACCAACTGGCAAGTATGAATAGTAAGGAACACTTCTACCAGCATCTGGTGATAGGTATTTTCTATCATATCGGTCAGGGACATCTTGCTAAGGGAACTCATAATGGTCATTAATCTATAAAATTAGTGGAAAGTTTCAGTTCAAAACAGTATTCCATTAAGAAAAAAAGGAAACTATTTTTTTTATAAGAATTTCAGGCCTCGTTAAAAACCCCCTTCTTGATTAATGGAACTTATATGAACTCTTTAATCAGTGGAAGGAGGAAAAGAGTGTCTTAGGATTTTATTGAACCATAAAATTAAATAAGATACAACCATCATACACCCCACCAACCAAATAAACTTGAAACAACCATAAAACACCCAAAATATAAATATAGAATCAGCCAATTCCTTCTTTAGCTAAGGCATCAGCCTCTAAATTGGTTGTCCTATTAACCCATCTGACAACACCTTCTAAAACATTAAGCCTATGAACAATATCTTTAATCAAAAAAGAATAAACATCAAGAACTAGATCCACTTTCTTAATCCAGTCTACCGCAACTTTGCTGTCGCTTTCAATAATCAGACGTCCCTTCCTCTCTCGTAAATTCGCATAGAACATTAGACCCTTCTGAATAGCTTTTAATTCCATAAAAGTTGGAGGGCCCGAACCAGCAGTTTCCTTGAAAGAACTTAAAGTCAAACCCGAGGAGTCCTTTAGAACACCTCCTATCCCACTCTTCTTCCAATCTCTTGTAGCCGCATCAACATTTAACTTTACAAAACCTTGAGGAGGAGGAGACCAAGGAAATTTAGTTACAAGCCGATTAGGATAAAAAGAGCACAAATCCCCTAATGAAGGGTCTGAAATAAGAGAATCCTTAGGAATAGACGCCTCTTTGTACTTAGCAAGGAACCAAGAAACTAGTCTGAACCTTGCTAGGAAAAAATACTCAGCCAAATCCAACTTTCTCCCATCAAACACAATAAGATTCCTAACTTTCCAAGTAGTCCAAATAACTGCCCCAGGAATAAAAGACCAAATTGTAGAGGTAGACTTCAAATCAGCCCAAGCAAGTAGGAAGTTTTTCGCATTCACATGCAAAACAGACTTAATCTTCCAGAAATTCAGAAATTTGTTCCAAATCGTCCACACCACCGAGCACGTGAAAAACAAGTGCGAGGGAGACTCCACCTCCCTCTTACAAAGAGGGCACATAATGTCTACAATTCTTTATATTCCCCTTTTAACAAGTTCTGTCCTAACAACCAGCTTCCCTAACACCACCTGCCACATAAAGGACTCCGTAGATAGAGAAACAGAAGAAATAGCGTTCATCAAGTTAACCCACTGTTCTACTTCCCAGTCGTTTAAATCTCTTCTAAACTGCACATCCCAACTCCAACCCGATGAGCTGTAATTCCCAAATTCAACCAGTTTACCCATTATGTTTGTGGAAATGGAAAACAATCGAGGGAAAATAATTAGAAGAGGATATTCCAAATCCCAATTATCCTGCCAGAACCTAATCAATCTGCCATCCCCAACTCGGAAAGAATACAAACTTCTAAACTTAGAGCCGATACTGTCTTCTTTAAAGTGATTCATAACCACCGATCTCCAACCAACCAACCAACCAACACCCTTACCAACCAACAGGCAAGTATGAATAGTAAGGCCTGTATAAAAATAAAAATGCCATGATACCGATATCATTTCGAGTAAGGAAAAAAGCAAAAAGATATTGACTACACTGGTTTGGACAACAACACCCTTACCAAAAGTAATTCATTTAAAAGTTGAAAGTATAACAGAATATGCTAACCAATTTTAGAACTCAAAATAACAATTATTATTCGTAACATTCATTTGTGTATGGTATAGTTAAACAAGAAGATGAACTAATGGATTATATACCTGGAAAATGATTTAATGTATCTGAAATGTGCATTCAGCACTAATAATGGAGGCTCTTGGACCATTGTGTCTCGAATAAAATCATATTCAAATCGTTTAAGATGAAGTTGAAGGACTGGAGGAAAATCATTGAACACACCCTTCTTTGCATCCTGAAATAACATCATCCTGAAATAACATCATCCAAAATCAAAATGAAGTCATTTAAATGGGAAAAGATGTAACATGTAATCAGATATGATGTTGAACACAATACCAAAAAAAAATTTAATGCTTAGGTCAACAGACACAGTTAGAGCCATTTAGATACTACAAAACACAACATTGGTCCTCGCTCCTCGGTAATAAATTTGATATTCATGCTCAAACAATATTTCAAAAATTTACCTGGGACCGAAGAACTTCTGCACCAATTTCTCTCAATGCTATGGTAAACTTAGTCATAACCAGTCCTAAAGAAGGAGAAAAAAGGTTCAATTACAGCTATAGTACCATACCAAAATATAATATGCATGTGATGTCAGAACAGAAGAACAAAATGAGAAAGCAAGAAAAAAGGCTTTTGGACGTAGGGGTGTTCAAAATTTGGTTTTAACTGAATTAACCGACTGAACCGAACTAATTCGGTTTCGGTTAATTCGGTCGGGGAACGGTTAAGGTTTTTTTGGATATTCGGTTCGAAATCAGTTAATTAACCGAAATAAAATTTTAAATATTAAATATATTATATATAACATATAGGCTCAACACAAACCATTTAAAACTCAATTAATAATTTAAGATCCAATAACTTTTACACTTAAATCAATATTAATTAATTAAAAAATTTATATAATATTTTTATTTTATAATTATATATTATTTAAATCAATTGTAAACTGTGTTTCTGAATTAAAAAAAATTAAATATATTATATATATGGGCTCAGCCCAAACTATTTAAAACCCAATTAATAATTTAAGATCCAATAACTTTTAAACCTAAATCAAAATTAATTAATTAAAAAATTTATATAAAATTTTTAATTTTTAATTATATATTATTTAAATTAATTATAAACTATTTTTTTTAATTATAAAATATTTAACTTTTATATAAATTAGAAAATTTTAAAAAAATTCGGTTAATTCGAAAATTAACCGAATTAACCAAAATTTATTCGGTTCGATTAATATTTTCGGAAAAAAGTTCGGTTCGGTTAACGATTAAAGAAAAAAAAAATTCGGTTAATGGTAGTTCGGTCGGTTCGACCACCGAATTAACTTTTAAACCTAAATCAATATTAATTAATTAAAAATTTTATATAAAATTTTTATTTTATAATTATATATTATTTAAATTAATTATAAACTGTTTTTTTTAATTATAAAATATTTAATTTTTATATAAATTAGAAAATTTTAAAAAAGTTCGGTTAATTCGAAAATTAACCGAATTAACCGAAATTTATTCGGTTCGGTTAATATTTTCGGAAAAAAGTTCGATTCGGTTAACGATTAAAGAAAAAAAAATCGGTTAATGGTAGTTCGGTCGGTTCGACCACTGAATTAACCGAATGAACAACCCTATCTGGACGTCTTATAGAGATCAATCCAATAATGATTATAATAGGAAGAACACCAAAGCAAATAAAAAAAATGAAGCCACTACCACTGAAGACTGTAGGTCTCTTCAAGGTACATATGCACCCACCAATGTTCAAGCAAGTGCAAGAAAAAAAATTGGCACTAATTTTGACAAATACATACCTCCGAAAGCCACACTAATTGGGTCATTATGCAACTCCGTATACAAGATTAAATCATCATTTTTTCTGCAATCATTTTACAAACTATCTAAATCAAGAAACAAACTCAGTATGCTTTAATATAAACAGTATGAGTATGGAAAGCAACGTAAAAGGTGATAACTTTTCTGATTGAATATTTATTATAAATTTGATTATTTACTGCCAAAGTGAATTGTGCATATCTACTCCATTCGTAGTGTAAACGTTCTGAGTCCGCAACATCCAAATACATAGACAGATGACATTGTTACCCTTTGAAAATATCAATATTCGCCTACGAAATTCAAAACCAAGAGTATGAATATCGCCAAAACAGAAAATCATGGGGAAAAAGGGTAAGTACTATGAACGAGGGAGTGAGCAATGTACCATTTAAAACCATCAAGGATAAAATTATCTGAACAGTGCTTCCTTTTGTGTAACCTAGAGAAGTTATCAATCTTCCAAGTGAATCTTGATAAAGGAGGAACCTTCATTGGTTGATTTTACACAGTATTTGTAGTCCGGGTTTGATATACAACTAACAAATTGAGACGTAAAATTACAACAAGAAACAAGAACAATATTTTGGGAACTTGCATTGACCTAAGGTATTCAAAGAGTAAGCCTCTCAAAATAATTATTTTCCAGGAAAAGAGTACCTTCCATGGGCTGGTCAATGTCGGTCAAATCATAGAGTGGCACAAGCATTTCCTCATCTTCTTGCTGGTCCTACCCGATCCGACCAGAATATATCAATATTTTAAATAATTAAAATAATATATTTTATAATAATACATTTATAATAATTTCTTATCTTTTAAAATATTAAAATAATATATTTTATAACAATTTATTATATTTTTAATAATTAAATAATATCTTTTAAACTATAAAAAGAAAAATCTTATACATAGTGGGATCAAAATCATAGTAATCACCAGTAATAACAAGATACAAAATTCCCTTTTGCTTTGGTTTGGTTCAAAGGCCATACCAACCATAAAATCTTATAGTATGCTACGACTAATCTCTCAAATAACTGATACTATATTCGGTATAGAAATATTATTTTTCTTTTGCTTTGAGAAAAACAATTGGATGAAGAAAATACAACAGAGATGTATGTCTCGGTCTAGAGGAAATTTATAGAACAAACCTAATTAATGTATGGCTCCATTTGATGCAATAATTCATAGCCCTACATAAATAACAAAAGTTCATCATGAGCAATGGATCCAGCAAGTGATAGAAACAATGAGGGAGAAACTGAGAAATTCTGCCATGTGATAACCTGTTTGAAGTATTGAAGATGTGCATCCATAGTCTCACTGACAGCTTCCAAAAACTCAAATCGCTTTTTGGCTTCAACAATTGAACGAGCAGTTACTTGTAATTGTAAACCACAGTCACGCAATTATATATCTTGAACCAAATTTGAATTATCAGGAAATTATTTGCTACCAATTCACTCACTAGATTAAAACGAGCCTCTTCAAATGCTGACCTCGCATTACGAAGTTCCTAGAATAACTCCAACCATGTCAATGTATGTAAGAAATATCCATCAACACGATCTACATAGCTAAGAATGCCAAATACATGAAATTATAAACCAAAGCAAGCCATTTTGCACGATACCTCTTCCAAAACATTAACAATATTACTCTTCGTACTTTTCCTTAGTGAAAGAAACTTTTCACTGGCCAACCATATCATACAAAGTGAAACAATATAATTATGCAATTGATTTTAGGCCAACTCAAAAAAATTAATATCAAATTCAAGCAATGTAAATAAAGCAAGCAAACAAACTACACCGGCAAAACAAATTTAACTTCTAAAGTACCTGGTCATAAATGAGACTAGCCTTGTCAAAACATTTGTGTGCTTTCTGCACTCATAGAAGATATTTTAAAACAAAAGCTTAACAAATAAAAACATATATGATCCATATTAATACACAGATTATCATGAGTTGGATGAATTTATAGCAGAGCACTAAATAAATAAATAACCAATGTTTCTCTTAATAAGAATGTTTCGCATAGTAAAAGTTAATAAGGCGACCCAGCTTTCAGCTAGTTCCAGATCCTCCCGACTTTATAGGGCAGCTTAAATCTTATTTGTAAGACATAGTGGAACAATATAATTATGTATTTGATTTTAGGCCAACTAAAAAACTATAATATCAAATTCAAGCAATGCAAATAAAGAATGCAAACAAACTACACTGGCAAAACAAATTTAACTTCTAAAGTACCTAGTCATAAATGAGACTAGCCTTGTCAAAACGTTTACATGCTTTCTACACTCATAGAAGATATTTTAAAACAAAAGGCTAAACAAATAAAACAGATATGATCCAGATTAACACACAAATTATTAGAAGTTGGATGAATCTATAATAAATAAATAACCAATTTTCTCTTAATAAGACTGTTTTGCATAGTAAAAGTTTTCAGCTAGTTCCAGATCCTCCCAACATTATAGGGTAACTTAAATCTCATTTGAAAGACAGGTAGTTAACTTATCCTCAAGTAAATGAATACTGAAAGTAATTTGTCATTTAACTCAGTTTCAACCTGGAGAGACGAGAAAGCAGTTCATAACTTCTAATATTATTTATTGTCAATAGGATTGGACAATAAATTGCATAAAGTGTCAAAGTTCAATATAGTTCTAACATTAAAGGAGCTTATAGGAATTGAAGTTTTATTTTTTTTATAGGAATTGAAGGCCTCGTTAAAAAAAACCCTTCTTGATTAAAGGAGCTTATAGAGAAGCTCCTTAATCAACGGAAGGAGAAAAAGAGTGCCTTAAGATTTCATTAACCAAAAGAAATTACATAAGATACAACCAGATAAACACCCCCAACATAACCAAAAAACCAAAAAACACCCGAAGACACCCCTAAAAAACAGAACAAGCTCAGCCTAAACCATCAAAGGTACTAACACAGTCTTAATTTTGGCTGAGCTGTAAACCAATCTAGCAACAACAAAGAAAAATTAATCAGATGGCAAATAATACCATGTCACAGTCGAACTAGGTACAACTTATACAATAGCTTCAATTATCAATATAACCAGTAAAAATATCTGAAACAACAAAAGGAAAAAAGAGTAAAATCCCATGAGCAGAAGACTTTCCTCCTAAAATGCAAGTATAAGAAAGAAAAATGACGGAGAACTGAAATTGCTCTACTGCGAACAGATAGTGCTAGAAGCTAACCTCAAAAAGATTGATCTCTTCATCAGGAGCATACCCTGTCATTTGTTTATAATTTGGACAAATTTTTATTGGCTTGCAAACACTTTTCACAAACCTTCCAACATGGCTAATAGAACAAAAAGATAACCTAAATAAGATTTCACGTAATTATCTAAAAGACAAGGGGTAATAAATAACATGAGACAATGTACCGAAGCTCTTCTTTCTCAGGATCATAGTGCTTGAAGAAAAGTAAAATATCTTCCTTTTTCTTACCGGTCATAAATCCTAAACAATTATGTTAACATCAAGATGTAAATAAAAGAGAATCTCAAACATTTATCAAGGGTAAAGACACAAAAACAAAAGGTCTGGTATTAGCAAGATTCATAAGAACTTGCCTAAAAAATCTAGTAAAAACAACCAGTTTCAAACCTCGCTAACATGCCATGTCAAGGGAAGATAAGCAATTCTACAATTTATAATTGTGAACCTTAACGTCTATCCCTAACTTCTATTTCTTCCTACTAAAACAATAGAACTTTTTGCACTCGAAAACTTTTAGAACCAAATTGGGCCTGTCTGTCGAGATCTATTAATATTAGCTTTGGGTGTTAGAATGAATATCATGAATGAAAATATCATTTGACAGCAAGTTCAAGCATCAAAGAAGAAACGTGTTGCTTAAAAAAAGCTAAACCAGATTATCAGTCCAAGCTCAACTTCCAGGAACAAGGGAAGCTTATTAGATACCTCCCTCAAGGTTCCAACCTCTAGTGAGGAAGAGACACTTAGGCAAGGAGTTAGATCCTTGTTGAACTTAAAAAAGAGCATATTTTTCTTATTCTGTATTTTTCAAAGACAGATGGTTAAACCCAAAACTATGAAGAATAAGGGCTGAAGAAAAATCTAGAAACAAATACTCCTCAAACAAGACTTTCGAACCATTAATTAATAGTGAGAAACATTACAGATTGTGTTTCCTCCAAAGGTGCCAATGGTCAATTCCGACGGTAGGTATAATTTTGATGTTTGGCCCACAACCAGAATTGCTGGAATTGCACTGGTACACCAAATTCTCTAGCAACTTTGTTTGCACATTGAAACATATCAGCAACAAAATCATAACATGGACAACCAAACATAACAACAATGTATCGAATAAAAAAGAAAAAGAAGATTGAAAATAAACATCATTAAAAAAGTAGTATCCAAGAGAAAAACAGAAAAATGAGAGTACCAATTTGATAAAGAAACCAATTTCCAAAAAGCAAATACATATAACCATTAGCATCAATTAACACAAAGGAAAACAAAATAGTTTTCTTTTTTTTCGTACCTTAAACACATTGACTTTATCATGGTCCATTAGATCAAAATATATATCCTTGTCAATCTGCTCTGCAAGATCATCATCTCGTGCAACCTAGAACAGTCATATAGCTATAAGAATTACACTCAACAATGCTAAAATCATTATCTAAATTAATGCCTCAAGCAACAACCTTTATGATAGTGTAAAGGTGTGCTCTACCTTATCTTTCCTTTGTTGCTTGTTCTTTCCTCCATCTCATCGAACATTTCATATTAGATTCTCAGAAAGGGAACTCAAATAATTCTTAAGACAACATAGACTACTCAAACTACGCTTGATATGAGCTTTCTAAGAAGCTCATTTGTCATTGCTCTTGATAAATCAACCAAGAGACAATCATATTAAAGAACATTGTTTTCTTCAAGCCAAACTCGAAAACCATTCTATTCAGTTCGTTGTTATACTCTTAGTTGACAAACTGCAACAAATCATATTACTCAATATCTTTGGGACCATTGGTACCATAAAACTGACGATCAAGCCTAGTTGGGAGCACCTTACCCTAAGATGTTGTATATAGACCATCGTGTATGCATTTTAATATTTGGTAAATCTAGGAGTATTATTGAATCCTGGATTTGTCTGTGGTAACTGTCCAATCACAAGGAAATTCCATTAAAATTGAAACCTCAATTATACATATAATTTAAAGCTGAAAGGATAATTACGAAAAATTATTTTTTTTTAAAAAAAAGTTGTTCAACAAAAGGTACCTCTTCCCCACCATATCGCTCCTCTAATACAATTTCCATATCTTCTTTGGTTTTCATCATCAAATTTAAACCTGAAAAACACACAAATTAAATACAATAACCATATAAAAGAAGTATTCACCAATCTAGGTTCCTAGGCAAAACTGGCATATGTAAGCTGTGAAGACAATACCTTCAAAACAATCAGCATTGGCTAATTTAATAATCATGCAACAACTTAAGAATTTGACAGTTGATTCATTTTTCCAAAAACCTATCTGACTTTTTGCTTAGAACATTATGCCTCAATTTGACTGAAGCAGTTGGTAAAAATTCAATGTGATTTATACTATAATACTTGACTACTACACCATCAAATCTGTCAATTGTTGATCCACCAAGAAAGACTTCAAAACATCATCAAATCTTGGCTACACATAGGCTCTGCCCATCAAGGCCACTTACGATGCTTCAGAAGATGATCCATATCATTGATCAGAAAGAGTCAATACCTTCAAAACAATCAGCATTGGCTAATTTACTAATCATGCAACAACCTAAGAATTTAACAGTTGATTCATTTTTCCAAAAACCTATCTGACTTTTTGCTTAGAAGAACATTATGCCTCAATTTGAAGGATTCCAAACACTTCTAGCAGGAAGAATCTTAAGATGATTTGCTGCCCTACGATAGTAATACAACATTCCACGACTATCAAGGACAAGAAATCGAGGATAACTTAAAATCCTCTTTACGACTTTCCTTTCGCGACTGCTTTACTGCCTCTATCATTTTATGTGAACTTCTACCTATTGCATTTATACCCGAGCATCTGCTCTCTCTGTTAACCAGCCTGCTCTAAGAGTAGTATTATTGAATCCTGGATTTGTCTGTGGTAACTGTCCAATAATAAGGAAATTCCATTAAAATTGAAACCTCAAGGATACATATAATTTAAAGCTGAAAGGCTGATTACGGAATATTCTTCTTTTCATCAAATTTATACCTGAAAAACACACAAATTGAATACAGTAACCATATAAAGGAAGTAACACTTTCATCACTATGGGCTCCTAGGCAAACCTGTGAAGACACAACCTTCAAAACAATCAGTATTGGCCAATTTGAATAATCATGCAGCAATTTAAGAATTTAACTGTTGATTCATTTTTCCAAAAAACTTATTAAAAACCTATCTGAGTTTTTGCTTAGAAGAACATTTTGCATCAATTTGACTAACCAGTTGGTAAAAATTCAATGTGATTTACACTACAATACTTGACTACTACCACCAAATCTGTCAATCAAAAACTGGCTACACATAGGCTCCGACCATCAGGGCCACTTGTATATATTTAGCCATTTATAAAATTTCAAAATGTGAAATTTCTGCAAAAATAATCTGTAGGTTTTCAATGAACAAGCATACAATTACGCCCTAAGATGCTACAGAAGATGATCCATACCACTGATCAATAAGAGTCGGTCTGATATAGTAGATTACCAGGCGAGTACTCCAGATGCACCAAGGAGCATAAACATTAACGACTAAAACTGGATACCTGGAAAAAAATCAAATCAAGTAAATAGAGGTATCACCAAAATTGGAATTTAGCAAAGAAAGACCCATGATGAACACATAATACTCAAAACTGAATCGCTTGACAATTTGAATTAATCCGCTTACTGTTGTGAATTGTTCGTTTGGTTTTTTATTAAAAAAACACGTCATTCAGAAGTAATCAGACAGACCATACCATTGGACATTAAAGCAAACTTGAAAGGAAATGATTCAAACCTTGACAATCTTTCAAAACATTGGAGCTGGTAGTCGGTAATCCTGCGTTCTATAATAATGGTATCACCGAAAATATCTGGCTTAAAAGAATCAATTCCTTCATTTTTAACATCCACTTGAACAATAGAATAACTGAGAATTAAAAGCAAAAGAATCAAACAGATTACCCATAACTAAACCAAACAATTAAAAGCAAAAGAAGAAGAAGAATAAACCTGCAGCCAGATTTTATAAATTCCTTCAACTTCAAAGCCCTTCTCTGCCGAGCGCTATACATAAAACAGTTAGTATCGCGCTCTGTCGTGCAATTAACCTTATATGAGACGAGGAAAGAATAGCATAACACGCCTAAGTTCTAATACCATGTTAAGCATCCAACCTAAAACCAATTGATGATAAGTGAACATACCAACATGAATATAAAACAAAGAAAACCGAAAACTTGATGGATGTGGGATAGCACCACCTGAACAAATAAAGGAAGTAAATAAATATTAAAAAGTAGAAAAGGTCTGCACACAAATTTAGCACATTATTTTTTACCTTCTTATCATCTTCGATGTAAAATCTTGAAGTTTTTTTCTCTATCTCCCTCTTCCTACTCTTGCTCTGATCAATATCTTATTTAATATTTGATACATGACTTTCAAACTCCTTAATTTGATCATCAAAAGAACCACAAAGACGGCCAATTCTAAGGTTCTTCTTTATAGAGAGAACTGTCTGAACTGAACCTTGTGAAAACCTGAGAAATTAATAGAACACCCAAGGAAATGAAAATCGATGTTTAGCAGGTGGGGAAGAGAACAAGCAAAGAAAGCATCCAAATTACAGTGTCTTCTAACCATTTGTTATAAACATGTTTCAGCATAACTACATCTGGATAGAATTGATGGGCACAGGTCCCATCCAACAACATGGAATTTTAAGTAATCAAATGATCATAAATTCTTAAATTCAAGCTTTACAATTACATTCAGATTGAATTCAAGAAGAGAACAATCTTAGATTTGAGAAGTGAACAAAATTCTTCAGGCAGAACTTGACAAGCATAAACATAAAGAAAACAAAATAAAAAATATAATAAAAGATTAGAGATCTTAGATTTGTGCCTTTCAGAACTAGTACAACTTGAAATCCATCTAAACAATGTAATTAGATTCACAAACCAAATTCAATTCTCTCTCTCTTAAAAATTGGTCCCTATAAAGACAATATTGAACATACCAAGTAACATTTTTAGAAAGGATAAGACATGAAACAATATATAAAATTAGTTCTCGACTTACATTTTAAACCCATCTAAGGTGAAAACCTCCAACAAGTTCTGTATTCTTCGATCAAATGCAACAGCCCTTCCCCTGTTGTAATCTTCGACCTCTCAGCTCTACCCTGAGAATACAGAAAATGTTAGTGCTACACATAAGCCTGCAGCAATAGCTTCTTAAGAGAAAGCGCAAGCATGAAAAATATTCATGGACCAAGCTCATTGCCTCTTGCTAAACTAACCAACCAGTAACCACTGCATTGGATTATGATAAAGGAAAATTATAAAAGAAAAGAAATAGGCAGAGAAGGTAGTTAAAAAGTAAATTTCCTAATAGCAGGATTTAGATTGGAAATTCATGATGAAAACATGAAATTACCACATCTACCAAAACATTGAAAACAGTAGGATTATCAACCTACAAAGAAAGCAGAACCAAATATCAAGGAAATTGTATTGAAACATCAGTACTATGAAAAGAGGCTTTTTTTAAATTAAAAAAAAAAAAGAATTCTCATCCTTTCACCTTGGTCTCGAAAACCTAATTATAACAGTCAGAAAGTAATTATATCTCGCCTTCTTTGTGCATTTTCTAAGAGAACTAGCATCCTGAGAATTTGTCACAATGAATCAATTCAGCAACTTTCCAATAGCTTGTTCAACAGAAAGAGCCCATGTATCACCATTGACTGATGTCTGTCTGCAACACAATAACCACAAAACTAGCAATAGTTTCCAGAAAGTCGTCAAGAATTACTTAATATGGAAACAGTGATACCTATGGTTGTACTTATATAAAAAAAACTAAAAATGGAGAAACTTTCATAGGAAAAAGCCTCTGGAATCAGAAGAGATCTATGTGCAGACTAAAAACAATTTCTAAGTGATTTTTTCAAAAAAACAAAAAAGAAAAAGAAGCTTCAATACTCATGCGAGCAAATGTTCTTATACTGTAAAAATCCCTAAATTGCCTATACCATTAACAAAGAGATCTAGAGAAAGAAATATGAAAAGCATTCAGCATTCTGTAGCCAACACCAAATGAACAAGCCGATCTTATATTATCAAATAAAGATTTAGTTGCTCAGTTCCTAGGCGTAAGAAGTTTGCTCAAAATTTTTTGTAGTAATTTTCCATCACTTATCACATGAGCACCAATTGGACCTATAGGTGGCACAGTAAATGCAAGGCGATGCCTCTCAATTTAACGTAGAAGACGAAGCACTCCATCCCCACCAAAAGCTGTAACCAGTCCAAGAAAAGAAAATCAAGTTCAAAGTTGTCCTTAAAATATTTAGGGGAACCAAAAAGCACAGCATTCTCATGTTATTCATGTAAACTAAATAAATAAAAAAGAAACCAAGAGTTGCCCAGACCCTGTTGGCTTGATGTAGATGAAGCTCACGAATTTGATGATCAATCTCACGGTGCTTTGTTTCATGGTACTTAATCTATAAAAGGGAAAATGGATCAGTGATGTGAAGGTCTTCAAGACGAAATTATTTCTATAGGCTAAGAGAAATAAATCCTGAAATTACAAGAACTAAATCTATAAAGAAAAATTGCAACAAAGTCAATTTACATATGTTAAAACTACTCTCCACACAAATTGCACATGCAAAAAAAATTGTTTGTATGTTTTTTATATGATAAAAACCACGTCATTCAGAAGTAATCAGACAGAAGAATATCTAGAATCAATAATTTAACCTGAGAATGTCCCATAATCTTGGAATGTTATATTGTTGGACCTTTTATTTCTCATGATCACTTATCCTCTAAAACCTTTTAACAAGTGCAAAGAAAAACAACAATAAAATCAATTTACATATGTCAAAACTATTCTCCACACAAATTGCACATGCAAAAAGGGGCAAGAAAGGGAAAACTTACAGTGACATTGGCTTCTACATCTTGGTGATTAATGAATCATTCAACTTGTCATGGCTTCTACCAAGAAAATGTATGAGTCGCTTGACATCACTTAATACCAGAGGTGAAACTGTTTTACTGAAAGAAAGATGGTGTATGACATGAGACATGTTCATTCCAGTAGCATCAAAAGAATTGGCTCCTGAACGAGCAGAGATGATAAGGTTGCCAGGAACCTGCAAGGTGCAACTCAAGTAATACTTTCAGCTCCTCATTTATCTCAAGGTTAAACATAAATGATTCGACAGACTAATTATATGCCAAATAATATGTACAATTGTCGGTCTAATCTAATATTATAATTATCACCTTCTTTGCACGCACGTATCCTTCAATTCTGCATCCTCCCGTCAGCGGTTCTGATCGTTCTCCTGCAGAATAGAAGTGGCCAATTCTTCCATCATCTGGAAGAAACAGACAGCAGCATTAGGTCATGTATGCACCTTTATCTTATAGGATTTCTGTAACAGATCTATAAACTCAAATGGCCAGTTCAAAACTAATTTAGTCATACCTTAACCAGGGTTTCTGTATCACGATCTCCATAATAAGATTCGTGTTCGTGGTGTCCATGGGATTCCCTGAAACACTTACAGGTCAGAGAACAAGGTGAGTCTGTATTGCACAGATCATAAAGTTCAATGGTACTGAATAGCCTAAAGGAAAGTTCAGAGAAGAAGATGAACTAATGGCTTCTATACCTGTAAAAAGAAAATGATCTAAACGTATCTGAAATGTGCATTCAGCACTAATAATGGAGGCTCTTGTACTGCAAATGACTCATAGAATAAACAGAACCACATAAATCTAAGATGTTATAACTACTAACCTTGAAGTGTCTCGCATAAAATCATATTCAAATCGTTTAAGCTGAAGTTGAAGGACTGGAGGGAAATCAGTGAACAAGCCCTTCTTAGCATCCTGAAATAACATCATCCAAAATCAAAATGAAGTCATTTAAATGGGAAAAGATGCGACATGCAATCAGATATGATGCCGAACACAATACCATAAAAACAATTTAATGCTTAGGTCAACTGAAATTGTTAAAGCCATTCAATACTACAAAACACAACATTTTGCTACAATGAACCACACATTTTGTTCATGCTGTTAAAATAGCTTATGCAGCTCTTGTACTAACGAACACTGATCTAACTGAAAGCAAAGTTACAACATATTATTACCTGCAATATTGCACTCTCGGACTGCACTAACAAGCACAAAACACATTACTGTGGTCAATTCCAAATAATAATCCTAGTCGACACAATATTTTTGGCCCGTAAATCCTGCAGTTGGTTGATCCCAGCAATAATAAAAATATATAGATACAAATTAACCCATAATGATAAACACAGGCGACATCTAAGTCATAGCTGCAAGGTGTAATTCTTGGTTTGAGAAATTATCCTGAAACAAAACCTCAAATCTCACTGGTCGCGTCAACTTTGATTGTCGATGTATGCAGATTCACTGTGTGACGTGCAACAGATTTTTCATCATGAATGCCACCATGATGATGAGAACAAGAAATCCATCAACCCAATAATCCAGATCCACTCTCAGAGCTATTTTGCTGACCGGAAAACTGACGGCAAGACACCTATTAATATACCAAGAAGAATCATAAGAGCATAATAAAGTGTTGATAACAAACAACACTTCAAGCAATACTTTTCAACGTTTTTCCCAAAGCAGGGAGCATGGAGCAGGAAGCACGAAGAATCTTAAGATGATTTGCTGCCCTACGGTAGTAATACAACATTCCACGGCTATCAAGGACAAAAAATCTTCTTTTCCAGTCCCCTCTCAAACTTGATGAATGTTTTGACAGAAAGCCTTGTCGAATGGTTTGAACCTGTAGGAATATCCAAAGCTTCAAATGCAGATATACAGTACATAGATGCAAAAGCATCACTCGGAATAATAAAATGTCACAAAAAGAAATCGAGGATAACTTAATATCTTCTTTAAGACTTTCCTTTCGCAGCAGACTGCTTTACTGCCTCCATCATTTTATGTGAATTTCTACCTATTGCATTTATACCCGAGCATCTGCTCTCTCTGTTAACCAGCCTGTTCTAGGAGTAGTATTATTGAATCCTGGATTTGCCTGTGGTAACTGTCCAATAACAAGGAAATTCCATTAAAATTGAAACCTCAAGGATACATATAATTTAAAGCTGAAAGACTGATTACGGAATATTCTTCTTTAAAAAAATGTTAAACAAAAGGTTACTCTTCCCCACCATATTGCTCGTCTAATGCCTTTTTCATATCTTCTTCGGTTACTTTTTCATCATCAAATTTATACCTGAAAAACACAAAAGTTGAATACAGTAACCATATAAAGGAAGTAATACTTTCATCACTCTGGGCTCCTAGGCAAACCAGAAATATGTAAGCTGTGAAGACACTACCTTCAAAAAAATCAGCATTGGCCAATTTGAATAATCATGCAGCAATTTAAGAATTTAACTGTTGATTCATTTTTCAAAAAACTTATTAAAAACCTATCTGAGTTTTTGCTTAGAAGAACATTATGCATCAATTTGACTAACCAGTTGGTAAAAATCCAATGTGATTTACACTACAATACTTGACTACTACCACCAAATCTGTCAATCAAAAACTGGCTACACATAGGCTCCGACCATCAGGGCCACTTGTATATATTTAGCCATTTATAAAATTTCAAAATGTGAAATTTCTGCAAAAATAATCTGTAGGTTTTCAATGAACAAGCATACAATTACGCCCTAAGATGCTACAGAAGATGATCCATACCACTGATCAAAAAGAGTCGGTCTGATATAGTAGATTACCAGGTGAGTACTCCGGAAGCACCAAGGAGCATAAAAATTAACGACTAAACCTGGATACCTGGAAAAAATCAAATCAAGTAAATAGAGGTATCACCAAAATTGGCATTTAGCAAAGAAAGACCCATGATGAACACATAATACTCAAAACTGAATCGCTTGAAAATTTGAATTAATCTGCTTACTGATGTGAAAAATTGTTCGTTTGGTTTTTTCTTTAAAAAAACACGTCATTCAGAAGTAATCAGACAGACCATACCATTGGACATTAAAGCAAACTTAAAAGGAAATGATTCAAACCTTGACAATCTTTCAAAACATTGGAGCTGGTAGAGTCAGTAATCCTGCGTTCTATAATAATGGTATCACCGAAAATATCTGGCTTACAAGAATCAATTCCTTCATTTTTAATATCCACTTGAACAATAGAATAACTGAGAATTAAGATAGATATCAGATATATCAAACAGATTACCCATCACTAAACCAAACAATTAAAAGTAAAAGAAGAAGAAGAAGAATAAACCTGCAGCCAGTTTTTATAAATTCCTTCAACTTCGAAGCCCTTTGAGTTTCTCTGCCGAACGCTATACATACAACTGTTAGTATCGCGCTCTTCCTCCTAAGGGCACAAAAACCTAAACAAATAAACATGTCGCTCGTATCATATTCCAAGAAAATTATTAACATGAATCAAATATATATATATATCAGTTAGTATCGCGCTCTTCCTCCTAAGGACACAAAAAACCAAACAAATAAGCATGTCGCTCGTATCATATTCCAAGAAAATTATTAATATGAAACAAATATATATATATAAAAGAGAGAGAGAGAGAGAGAGAGATGAGATACGTACTTCCGTTTTGACCGGTAATGAAATTAACCCACTCGCCGAGTTATATTTCAAGATTAGTATGGCACATATAGTTCTGCACCTTAATCTTCTAATAGTACCCGCCCCGGATCTTTGAGCGCCACCGGAGAAAACCCGAGAACTACCCATGGTTGTATACTAGGGTTTAGCGATCACCAATCGCAATTCGCAAGAAACGAAAAAATTGAAGCTCTGGAAAGAGATCGTACAAAGAGACTTCGGGAGTGATTAAGGCGGGAAAGAAAAAGTAGTACAAGGCGATACTCGTCTCTACTTAACAATGAAGTAACCCTGACCCAACGGATATATTTATAGATGCATCAATCAATTATAACCGTTGGGTTTTTTAGATTTTAAGTCGGTGTAATTGAAGATGGGCCTGTAATTGAGCCCTAAACTTTTTTTAACAACAATGAGCTCAATTTTAGACACGAATTAAACGATATCGATAATAAAGTAATTATTGTAATTTTTTTAGGTATTGGATTCGAGCATCATGAATGTTAAGAATGTAAACGTTCAATTTCAAAAGGTTAAGAATTATCCTTAAATGAATATCACATTATACTTATCTTATATTAGTTAAAAAATAATGGACTCAACCCAAATGGAAAGAAAGATATGCATGAAAACTCTCTTTTTTTATATAATCAAATAAAATAAATAAAATTTTCAGATTTAAATTTGAAATTTAATATCAATAAAGATATTTTTTTTACTTTTTTAGGCATAATGACAAAAATAATACCTAACGTTTGATTATATGATCATTTTGTCTCTTAACATTTCATTTTGAGATAAAAATCCTTACATAGATGAAAATTATTGGTAAACAAACGGTCAATACATGAAACTAACTACATGTACAAGTGGACAAAATACTGACGTGGCGTATCCATATCATCATGCCACGTTATCAAAAAATATCATGTGTATGAAAACATATCATTTCAAGATATCAACAATATGGCACGTCATCATATCACATCAGTATTTTTATTTTTTTAAATTTATTTTATATGATTATTTTTAATTACATTAATTATAACCAATAAAACGATAACAAATGTCATCATATGATTGGTTTAAGAATAAAAATAGAGGAAATCAAAATTTGCAAATTACTAAGTATTGAACTTGAGTCTTGTAGATAGAGATGTAAACAATCATAGTGTTCGATGAATTGTTTGTGAACCGTTCGTATAATGTTCATTTATGTTTGTTTATTAAGCTAAATAAACGAGTATGAACAAAAATTTTATGTTCGATTAATAAACGAATGAACACGAACAGAGGTGTGTTTGATTCATTTATGTTGTGTTATGTTCAGTTTTGTGTTCTCATATTGATGTACTAATTACTGATAGTAGTACGAGTGTTACTTGGAGATGCATAGACTTTTATGGAGCACTAGAGGAGGCTCGAAGGACCGACTCCTAGAACTTGTTGAGACAACTTAGTAATTATCCAGGTATCTCATGGATGGTGATTGGTGATTTTAATAAGATTATGTTCTCTTTCGAAAATGAGGGTGCATAGTCTGATCCAAGAGGCAAATAAGGGTTGTCTGTGATATAATTGATGATTGTGGGATCCTAGATATAGGTTTCTATGGCTCTTGGATTACCTGGGAACGTGGGAGAAGAGCTAAAAGTAATATTAGAGAACGACTTAACAGAGAATTGGCGTGTAATTTGTGGATGCAATCTTTCCCGGACTATTCTTTAACGCACCTTTTGCATGCTTTCTCTAACATTGTCCACTACTAGTAGACACTACAGCAAGGAGAATTATTCCACGAAGATGATACTTTAAATTCGACGCTTCATGGCTGCTTGAGGACTCTTGTGAGGAAGAGGTAATTTGACTTTGGACAACGGCTGAAGGCTCTGCCTCGAAAAACTAAGCAGTGTTAGCCGCGGCCTTGATACTTGGTTCAAGAATATTTGTTGCTACAAGCGATTAATAACTAAGAAGCTACAAAATCGTTTAGTGAAATTGATTGAATTAACGCCAACTGATGATGTTTTAGGGGAAATCGTGGACACAAAACTCCAATTAAATTTGGAAGCCGGCATACAGAAGATGTATCAGGAACAGAGAGCGCGAGCGAATTGGCTGAAGCATGGTGATAATAACACAAGTTTTTTCCCATAGATTTGCTTCGCAATGGAGACGGATAAATAAAATTCTCCATTTATAGACCGAGAATGGGGAATGGGTCGATAGTGATGACGATATACGACGATTATGAGAAACTTAATTAAGCTGGTAAAGCTTGTAGTCACTCGGATGAAAACACAAATGGATTTCAGAGATATGCATAGAATTCATACTAATAATACCATGCCAATATTTCAATATTAAAGTAGGTTTAGGAAATGGAAACGCACCAGAAGATCCACCCAAGCACTAGCACCAACAAGGACAGAGAATCCCAGAAGCACCTAAAAGAAATACAAAGAAATGAAGCAATTATAACTCTGCAACTAGGCAAAGTATGATAAAACCCAAAAATGCAGAAAGAATACTAAACTATTTCCCGATGAGAAATTCACCGTAACCACATTTTTCTTTGTTTCTTCGAAACTAGTAAGTTCATTGAAATAGATGAAACATGCTCAAGAAGAATAAGAAAAAGGGGATGGAAATAATAAAAGCACTCACCCAGGGCAAGTAAGCTGCCGTAAAGGTAAAAAGACCCAGAAAACTCATAGACAGATGATTCACGTCGTTACCCTTTGGAAATATCAATATTCGCCTACGAAATTCAAAACCAAGAGTATGGATATCGCCAAAAAATCTTGGGGGGGGGGGGGGGGAAAGGTAATTACTATGAACGAGGGAGCGAAAATTCAAAACCAAGAGTATGGATATCGCCAAAACAGAAAATCTTGGGGGGGGGGGGGGGAAGGTAATTACTATGAACGAGGGAGCGAGCAATGTACCATTTAAAACCATCAAGGATAAAATTTTCTGAACAGTGCTTCCTTTTGTGTAATCTAGAGAAGTTATCAATTTTCAAAGTTAATCTTGATGGAGGAGTAACTTTCACCGGTTGATTTTTAACGGTATTTACAGTCTGAATTTGAGAAACAACTAACAAATTGAGACATAAAATTACAAAAACTGTAAAAAAAAATCAAATAGTTCTTCCAATGATGCCCACAAGAAACAAGAATCAATATTTTGGGAACTTGCATTGACGTAAGGTATTCAAAGAGTAAATTTCTCAAAATAATTATTTTCCAGGAAAATAGTACTTTTTATGAGCTGGTCATTGTTAGTCAACTCATAGAGTGTTATAAACATTTTCTCATCTTCTTGTTGTTGGAAAAAGAAAAGAGTAATCAAGAAATTTTCAACAATAACTAAATCAGAAGTATCTCAATCTATAAAAATAAATAAAGATAAAGGAAATAAACCTTAAAGAAATTCCAAATGCATAAAATTAATGAAAACGAAAGCAATTGAAAAGAAAAGAGAAAGATAGAAAGAGAGTACATTCATGGGTAAAGGGGTACTGACAGTCATGGTTGCGAAATTGAGAGGTAAATTTGAAAGTTGTGAAAATAAGAGGAAAATTTTCTTTTTCTTATTTTTGAGGGATTCTAATTGTATGGGGTGATTTTATACTACTCTGAGGAGCGGTTATCAGAGATTTTAATTTTGTACCGTTATAACACATACAAGAGTAAATATAAAATTGTATTGTTATAACACTTGTATGTGTAATAAATTCTTTGAAACATTTAAATGCTTCGTTTACTTAGCTTAGAAGTTTCAAGGATAAAGTTAATAGGGGAAACATTCTCAGGAAAAGAGTACCTTCTATGGGATGGTCATTGTCAGTCAAATCATAGAGTGGCACAAGCATATGGGATGATCATTGTCAGTCAAATCATAAAGTGGCACAAGCATATCATCATCTTTTTGTTGCTGGAAAAATAAAAGAGTAATCAATCAAATTTCAACAATAACTAAATCAGAAACAACTCAATCCATAAAAAAATTAAAAATCGAAGATAAAGGAAAAAAACTCTAAAGAAATTTCAAATGCGTAAAATTAGTCAAAAGGAAAACAATTGAAAAGAAAAGAGAAAGATAGAAAGAGAGTACACCCATAGGTGAAATGGGTACTGACAGTCATGGCTACGGAATTGAGAGGTAAACTGGGAAGTTGTGAAAGTAAGAGGGAAGATTTCTTTCTTTCTTTTTTATTTTGGAGGGATTCTGATTGTATGGGGGTGATTTTATATTACTATGAGTACCTTTCATGGGCTGGTCATTGTCGGTCAAATCATAGAGTGACACAAGCATTTTCTCATCTTCTTGTTGATGGAAAAAAAGAGTAATCAAGAAAATTTCAACAATAACTAAATCAGAAGCAGTCAAATCCATAAAAAATAAAAATTGAAGATAAAGGAAATAAACCTTAAAGAAATTCCAAATACATAAATTAGTCAAAAGGAAAGCAATTGAAAAGAAAAGAGAAAGATAGAAAGAGACTACATCCATGGGTGAAAGGGGTATTGACAGTCATTATTGCGGAATTGAGAGGTAAACTGGGAAGTTGTGAAAATAAGAGGGAAGATTTAATTTTCTTGTTTTGGAGGGATTCTAATTGTATGGGGGTGATTTTATACTACTCTAAGGAGAGGCTGTTAGAAATTTTAATTTTGTACCGTTATAACACATGCATGTGTAAATATAAAATTGTACCGTTATAACATTTGCATGTGTAAATATAAAATTGTACCGTTATAACACTTTCACCGTTGCACATGTAGATATAAACTTGATCTTTTTTAGGGGGGAAATAAATTCTTTGAAGCATCCAAATGCTTCGTTTACTTAGCTTAGAAGTTTAAAATCGATACCCATTTCGACTCTACCTCGTTCATTAGTATAACCTCAACGGGCATGGTAGGTTGATTTTTGATTTGTTCTTCGCTTCTCGATGGGAGAGAAAGATGTTTGGTTCAATGAGATTTTGTTGATCTATTTTATTTTTTTTAGTGTGGATCATACTAGGAATTTCAGTTAGTTTTACTTTTAGAAAAGAAAAATATTGATGGTTAATTAACTATAAAAAATGATTAATTTAAAAAAATAACAAAAATAATTAAAGGCATAATTAAAAGTTGATATATATTGTAGACACCCGTTTTTGTTTAGGTTCTCGTTATTTATTATTATTATTATTATTATTATTATTATTAACAATTTATATTTATTTTATAGGCTCAAGATAGCAGCCCACCAGGTAACCTACCCGAAGCCCAACAAATACACAAACCTAGCCCACTCAGCAGACCTAGTGAATCTTGATGAAGGAGGAACCTTCACTGGTTGATTTTTCACAGTATTTGCAGTCCGAGTTTGAGATACAACTAACAAATTGAGATGTAAAATTACAATAATTACAAAAAAATCAAACACCCCAAGAAATAAGAACAATATTTTGGGAACTTGCATTGACGTAAGGTATTCAAAGAGTAAACGTCTCAAAATGATTATTTTCTAGGAAAAGAGTATATTCCATGGACTGGTAATTGTCGGTCAAATCATAAAGTGGGACAAGCATTTCCTCATCTTCTTATTGTTGGAAAAAGAAAAGACTAATCAAGAAAATTTCAATAATAACTAAATCAGAAGCAGTCTAATCCATAAAAAATAAAAATTGAAGATAAAGAAAAAACCTTAAAGAAATTTCAAATGCATAAAATTAGTCAAGAGGAAATCAATTGAAAAGAAAAGAGAAAAATAGAAAGAGAGTACACTCACGGGTGAAGGGGGCATTGACAGTCATGGTTGTGAAATTGAGAGGTAAACTGGGAAGTTGTGAAAATAAGAGGGAAGATTTCTTTTTCTTGTTTTAGAGGGATTCTAATTGTATGGGGGTGATTTTATACTACTCTGAGGAGAGGCTGTCAGATATTTTAATTTTGTACTGTTATAACACATGCATGTGTAAATGTAAAATTGTACCGTTATAACACGTGCATGTGTAAATATAAAATTGTACCTTTATAACACTTGCACCGTTGCACTTGTAAATATAAAATTGATCTTTTTTAGGGGGAAAATAAATTCTTTGAAGCATCCAAATGCTCCGTTTACTTAGCTTAGAAGTTTAAAATCGATACCCATTTCGACTCTACCTCGTTCATCAGTATAACCTCAACGGGCATGGTAGGTTGATTTTTGATTTGTTCTTCGCTTCTCGATGGGAGAGAAAGAAGCTTGGTTCAATGGGATTTTGTTGATCTATTTTGTTTTTTTTGGGAGTGTGGATCATACTAGGAATTTCAGGTAGTTTTACTTTTAGAAAAGAAAAATATTGATGGTTAATTACTTGTTAATTAACTATAAAAAAATTAATTTTAAAAAATTAACAACAATAATTAAAGGCATAATTTAAAATTGATAAATATTCTTGTATTATAAATTTAAAAATAAATCGATTCGAATTGGGTGATCAAAATGGAACAAAAACTTAAGTTTAGTGATGATTTCGAAGAAAAAAATAGTTTACTGACCAAAATGAAACCACAAAAATAATTAAGTGATTAAATATGTAATTTACCCAGATGATCGAAATTTAATCAAATTTTCGAGGGAATTTAATCAAAATTATATAACGTGGTTAATCAAAATTTCATTTCTTAACGGTCACCTTTTGAAACTTTTATTGGTAATTACCATGTTAGATTATAAAATCCCTACAGTGAAGTTATTTATTACAAGAGAGAATTTAATCAAAATTATATAACGTGGTTAATCAAATGAAATCTTAATGCATTTTGATCGTGCTGCACACACATACTGCTGCTATATAATGGTCTGCTTATTTCCTTCCTTTGTAATAAAATATATATATATATATATATATTTATTTATTATTTCTCATGTCTATTTATTTATGTTTTTTATGATTTTTTTTATATTTATAGGAACTAAATCTAAAAAATGGATAGTACAAGGATTTTTCAAATAGAATTTTCCCTATTTCAAAGATAGTATTGGTTGAACCCTTGCAAAACCTATGAAAAATCAAAGACATTCATAAGTTTTCCAAAGAACCGCCTGTTTTCTTGTCTTACCATTCGGAAAAGTAATACTTTATCAATGGGGATTTACAGGTCTCTACAAACCCTAATTACCAAAAACCCTAACAAATCCCGAACCTTTTTGACCGCCGCATCGACGAATTCAAGTACAACAACTTTTCAGTTGTTAATTAATTTTTGCAGTTATTAATTCACTGAGTTAATTGTAGGATGATGTAAATGAAATGTACGGTCTTACGTTTATGGGATTAGCCATCTCTGATGCGCCTGATTGGGTATGGATTCTCTGGATTTTTTCATGTGTCATTGGAAACTAAGTCATTTTTCTTCATTTTTTGTAAAATATAATGAAAAATTTTAAGCTTTTTTAAAAAATAATTTCTATTGTTCCCTCCCCCCAGTTGGATGGATATGTAGCTAGAAAGATGAAGATCAATTCAGTAGTGGGTTCTTATCTTGATCCTCTAGCTGACAAGGTAAATGACTGATGCCACTTTACTTCTTTATAGGTTCTTGTGACTTTGCTTGTGAGTTTCATTTTACAAGTTGTTTATCTTGATCTTGTTGGTATAGGTTCTTATCGGATGTGTTGCTTTGTCGATGATACATGACGATCTTTTGCACCGTAAGTTTAATCCGCATTTGTTTAGATCATCTTCAATTCTCTGGTTATTGGTAGTAGGTGTAGCCGTGTAGGTGTGATATTGAGGACTTGACATGTTTTAATCGATACTGTCTTACTCTCCTTACATTCATAAGCAGTTGTGCAATCTTGCAAATACATGGGCTTTCCTCTGTTGAATGCTGAAAATTTTCGTTGTCGAACTAAATGTATAAGATTTTTTACTAGTTTTCCGTAGCTTATCGCTTCTGTGTAACAAGGATAATTTGGAATTATCATACTGGATGCTTATAGTTATAGATTATATCAGCAGTTTTTTTCTAGTATCGTGATTTCCGTTTCATCTACCTTTAATATGGGGGGTTGCGAAAGTTTAGAGTTGTAGTTATCTGTGTATGTTATTTGATCTTTAAATTTTTACACGCATAAAAGTACTATGTTATCTGCAAATATTTGGTGATGCCTATCTTATTAGTTTTCTTTTCTGTAAAGTTGGACTTGTCTGACTTGCGAGACGTTGCCCTCATTGGTGGTGCAGTGTACCCAAAAAATGTGGGCCTGAACCTAGACTCCAGGGATCCTCGGTTAAACTCGCGCCTTTTAAACATCCTTAATACTAAACACTTAGAGCCTGTGAAGATTTTGAATGTAGATCGTTTCTGTAGACTAAAAACAAATTAAAAAGACCGGATAATAGTTGAATGCAAGTCAAAAGTTAAGAGGGTTTAGCTTAAATAATCACATTTTGTCATTGTTCCAGATATTATTGCCTTTAAACATGCCTTGATTTGTTTTTTATATGTCGGTGTTCTACAACATTCACCTTATAAAGCAAGCAATTGCAGCCTGCTGATCTTCTGCCTTGTGGCCATAATTGGAGAGCTACACTCAACTTCATCTCCAAAGAATTGTGCACTTTCCACCCTATAAAGAAACAGAATTAGGGTTCACCAAGCAACTAAAACAAGAAAAACACAGAGTTCTGCAAGGAAAAGGGGTAAAACATTAATTTTGTGAGTAAATTTTACCAAAAGCACCCGGTCTAGGTATAAATTACTAATATCTCTGGATCCGCATAAATGTAGGAAGACCTATATACATAGCTAACGCAAACCAAGATATATTGTTCATAATTAGCATGTAAGCTTGAACATTTTTCTACGAAATGGTGAACCACACTTTTTTATGCATTTAACGTGTCAAAGCAGAGATCAAACCGTCCAAGGTAAGCTCCATTGGTCTAGTTTCGCGGAGGGAAGACTAATTAATCCCTGTGAAGTTCCTCTGCAGGTGGTGGAGCAAATCTCACATTTGCAGGCTGTGCTACCACTCCATCCTCATCTGCAAACAGTGCTTTGATGAGAGATGGGGTTTTTAAGGGTCTTCGACCGGTCGTTCAGGGATATACATCTTCGAGAAAATAGTATGCATGACCGGCTATCATTCCCTGGATAAATAAAATATTTAGTAGACAAAGAAAGGGGCAAAAATTAAGATATAAGAACAAGGGGCAGTCTATAGAACCACTGCATAAATTATTAAGAACTCTCATGGTCCTTATACAGCAGATGAGACCAAGCAATTTTCTTCCTCACATCAGGACACTTTTCCACACTAATCACATCAAGACCTCTCCAACAGTGATAATGATATACGACGATTATGAAAAACTTAATTAAGCTGGTAAAGCTTGTAGTCACTCGGATGAACACACAAATGAATTTCAGATATATGCATAGAATTCATACTAATAATACCATGCCAATATTTTAACATTAAAGTAGGTTTAGGAAATGGAAACGCACCAGAAGATCCACCCAAGCACTGGCACCAACAAGGACAGAGAATCCCAGAAGCACCTAAAAGACATACAAAGAAACGAAGCAATTATAACTCTACAACTAGGCAAAGTATGATAAAACCCAAAAATGCATAAAGAAGACTAAACTCTTTCCCGATGAGAAATTCACCGTAACCACGTTTTTCCTTTGTTTTTTCTAAACTTGTAAGTTCATTGAAATAGATGAAACATGCTCAAGAAGAATAAGAAAAAGGGGATGGAAATAATAAAAGCACTCACCCAGGGCAAGTAAGCTGCCGTAAAGGTAAAAAGACCCAGAAAACTCATATGTATAAAAGGATTCTGCTTGCTCCACACATAAACCTACAGGTTGTAGATGAATTCCAAAATGGCTATCAGAAAACATAAACACCGAATAAAACGTGTTTTGCATGTAACCGAGCACAGAGGGCTTACCATCATGAGTGCAATGAATTGCTTAGAAATATGATTCTCGCAAATGATGCCGACAGATAAGGTATCATTCCACCAATAAGCACAATGCCAGTTAAGACAGAAGCTTAAAAAAAAGCATGTAAACAAAATTTGCAGTCCTTCCCCTAAAAGTGTTCTATTAAGGAGTTTGCAGTACCGAGCAAGAAAGAACATGTGAAACAAGAAATCCAAATCTGGCATATAAAGGGATACCATGTTAAAGGTGCTAATCGATTTGAGAGTACCATATTCAATCATAATCACAGAGACATTTTCAGATAAGCAATACTAATCATAAAGATGTTCAATGCCTTTCATGGTGTAAACTCCAAAAGAAAGTAAAATAACGAAGGGTGGTATAGAATTGATTTTTGTCCTTAAAACCTAATTCCTTTCACTTTTATCTATACTGATTCTATTCAAGCTTTTAAAACAACAAGAATAGACAACTGCATTTCCATACTTTCACTAAAAAATTGGAAACATAATAGTGCCGGCTCTTGTTGTTTCAGCAGGAATATGTATACATATTGAGCAAAAACATCCATGGCATTTTCATAACATCGGTCCACGGCATAACAAACCAGATATATCATAACATTCAGACATAAAAGCACATGGAAGTTACCCATCTTGCGGAACTATAGGAAGTTAGTAACGAGGCGCCAGATTTGATAATGTTTAACCACAAGCTTAGGGTTCAAGTACAGATTATAAGGTGATATTATCTGCAAAGAAAATCAGATTAGCACAACAATGCAAACACGTTCTAATTGCTATCAAAATCAAGATGGGATAATAAATCATACATTGCCTATTATAAAAAAAAAAATCAACTTTGCCTGCCCAAATTCCTAACTTTCTTGAAACATGAATGAAAACCCGTGGATCAAATCCAAAGTGAATCAATAAATTTCATTAAATTGAGATAAACACGGATCAAAATAACCCATACTAACCATACCCATTTGCATATAAACTTTAAAAAAAGTGTCCAAATCATTGAAGATTGAAACTCAACAATCAATATCATTGACCAGATTGAAAAAATAAATAAATCCAAAAAAAAAAAAAAAAGAGAGGCATACTTCGAGAGAGCAACCAATAGTGATAACAAAAGCAGCTTTGCGATAAGAGCGAGTGATGACCAGCATCTGCTTATACCATTCTTCAATGGCTTGAGCCATTTTTTTTAGTTTTACAAAATAAAAGAGAGCTCTTTTTTAAATTTCTATAATAATACAAAAGAACAAAAATAATCGAAAGGCTAATTCGATCAAATTGTTTAATTGATTTCCACTTTGTTTTAGGGTTTTGAAGATCGAAACAGATTCTTTTTCCCCTTTCAGATAAACGAGATCTTTTTGAACGAAGCAAGAAGAAGAAACGGATTGCGAAAGGGCATAGAACATTTAAGGGTAAACTGCATAATTCATCACTCAAGATCTAAATTTAAAATCAAATCTTAAAATCATATAGCCAAATCATAAATCTTTAAATTAAAATCCTACCACACCTTCACCTTCGACGCAACACATCCCTACCGTACCTCTCATTTTTGTCTTATCTTCAATCATAAAACACAAAAAAATGAACCAAATTTGATGTTTTTCTCTTTTCCGTTTCATAGTTTCCTTCATTTTTCTTGCTTTTAAATTCTTGATAAAATAGCGTT